TTGGTGGATGCAGAAATATGTTGAACCAGGGATTAGGGTGTTCAGTGTAGTGAGATCAGAATCAGAAAAGATCAGGCAAGGCTTGGCCTGATGTGTACTGTTATATCCCCTAAATTACCATGTTGGAGCCTATTTCTCCATGTGTCATGTTTGAAGGCTTTCTTAGGGTTTCTACTGCTGTGAAGAGACACAATGACCACGGTAACTCTTACAAAAGGAAGCATTTAATTGGGTTTGCTTACAGTTAAGAATGTTAGTCCATTATTTTCACGGTGGGTGACATGTCAGCAGACACAATGTTGGAAAGGTAGCTCAGAGTTCTACATCTTGATTGTGGGCAGTAGAAGGAAGCTGTGTATCACAATGGGTGTAGCTTGAGTATCTGAAACCTCAAAGTTCACCCTCATAATGACACACTTCCGCCAAGAAGACCACACCTACTCCAACAAGGCCACACCTCCTAACAGTGTCATTCCATATGGGTCAAACACATGAGTCTGTGAGGGCTGTACCTATTCAAATCACCATAGAGGGCTTTTGATGGGTAATGAATTAGTGCTTGAGAGTTCTCTATGGATGGGCTCGATGATTTGAGAGGTATCTAGTGTTCACTGCACTAATGTAAATATTATCTAATTGAGCATGGCTTGGGCCTCATCACAGAAAGAGATCTAATTGCTGAGTTCAAGATCCATCTATACTGACAAAGCCTCCAGATCCAAAGTGCATCCAAAAAGATAGAGAGCACACAACATTTCCAGGAGGCATTGGCTTGGCTCTCTATCCCTGCCTGCACATGCCAGGTGGAGAGGATGTTTACTGGTTCACAAACCTTGGTCATAAGGACCAGAAAATTCGACAAACTTTAAACAGACAATGTAGAACAACCTTTCTCTAGGACCTTAAACAGCTCTGCACCATGGGATAGCACGGATCAATAAGTCTTTGTGATGATAGCTGATGTTTCCCCCTCCAGTCAGTGCCATCTGTGGCTACAAAAAGTTACCTGGGCTGGTGCAATGACTTAGCCAGTAAAGGTACTTTTCATTCAGCCTGACAACCTGAGTATGATTCCCAGAACCCACTTGGTGGAAAGGATACAAACTCCTCCAGGTTGACATCCAATGCAAAAGGAAATCATTTATATCACAGTTGTGTGTGTCTGTGTGTTTCCATGCATGAATTCTAGCACACATGTATTACAGAACATCTGTGGAAATCAAGGGCAACCTTGGTATCGATTCTTCCTTCCATCTTATTTGAGGCATTTGCAACTTTGTGTACCAGGTCACTTGTTCTACAAGTTTCCAGGGAGTCTCCACCTCCCATCTCACAGTAGGGAGACTGATATAACATGCTTCTGATCCCAGCTTTACATAGGTTCTTGGGATCAGCTTATGTAGCAAGCACTGTGTTCACTATGTTCACTGAACCATGTCCCTTGTACCTCCTCTGACTTCTTAATAATCCAATGCAGACCACTGTGTCTGTCATAAAGCAGAGTAATGCAGATATGATAAGCCTTGGGAAGGGCAGAAGGAGCACACTGGATTCTGCCCTCCTATGTGGTAAGAGTAGTTACCAGAGGGAGGGTGCTATCCCCGCCAGGATGATCAGGATATTCTGAGATGAGGGGAACAAGTTGGAGACAGATAACATGGGAAAAGCTGTTCTTTGGAAGAGTTTTTGAACGAAGAAAAAGAGAAAACAGGCGGAACTGGAGAGAGGCTGATCTGGAAGATAGTCTGTGTAGAAAGGGCGAGCATGCTGTGTGTTGAGGGAATGTTCTAGAAGGTGGGGGGTACCAGAGCTGCACATGGGAGATAACACTGGGAGCCTAGCTAGAGAGGCAACAAGGCAGGCATGCAGGGACAGGACCAGCCTTCAAGGGGACCACGGACAGTCCCCACATTTTCATGGAGAAGCAAGGCTGCTGGTGGTGACAAGAAAGAGTAGAGCCATTGGAAGCTGCACATCTCCAGGAAACCCTGCTCTTGTGTGCACAGCCCTGTGGCCCTCCCTGCCGCTTCCAATTTGGTTTCTGAGGCTACAGAGGAGATGAGTAGTGAGGAGCATGGGTGCAGAGATTTCCAGGGCTGCACATGAGATTAGTGGCACATGCTAGAGTCTAAGGGAGACACTTCGGGTTCCTCCACTTTATTTCCATTTGAGTGACATGTGAGAGATCAAGGATCCTAGCTGAACCTCAAAAACAAGTAATTATCAAAGATGCCAGAAATACAGCCAGTCAACACATAATGTTAATTCCTTAGGCTTATACAATAAGAGACTAATCCGGAGAGAAAACAATTCCAAAGGATGATTGCCTACTATTGTAGCTACCAAAGTTTCTTCCCTTCTCTCCTGGCGATTCGCAGGGCCGTGTGACCTCCGGCTTCCTGGAGACTGCACTAGCTCTGGCTTGAGGGGATAACTTAGCAAGAACCTGGTTCTCTTTGTTGTGGTAATTCCACTTGTATTCAAGGTCTTAGCAGTGGGCCCTTAGCCTGCCTCCCCTAGCTGACCCTGCCCGAGGGGCCGGGAAGCTTTAATCTTCTCCTCCTGCTTCTGGTTGGGAGGAGGCTTTGCATTTTCGGTCTTTCTAGCCCACTGGTATAAATATCTGTCTTGAGTTTAATAAAGTTGCCATTTACTCTTGTAGATGAGCCAGGTCTCTTTGTGTGTGTGTCTTCTTTTCCAACCCTCAGGACAATCGTCCCTTCTCGTGGGCCCGAGTTCAGGAAGCGGGCAGCCTGGGTCGGGCGTGGGTATCCTTTGGGAAGTGCAGACTCCTACATACTATCTGGATTTATAATTACCAAGAACGCCACACTGTTCACCCCAAGGCTCACTGCCCTGAAAGCCTTTTAAACTGTAGAGTTCTGTGGCTTTCAAGACATGATTGAAACAAGAAGTCCTCTTATATTTCAAACATAAGCAAAACTCTTCCTCAATACTTTTCTAAACATACAAAATCAAAGCAAAATTGAAAAAAAAACTTCCAAACACAAAGATAAATGAAAAAGGTAGCAGAATTTAGACCATACATACAGATATGGCTAACTTCAGATAAGCTGTAAGCTAGAACCACTCACATGCATTATGCTGCTTATAATTTAACTTTTATTAAAAATAAATATCATTATTAACAAATCATATATATATGTGTGTGTGTGTGTGTATATATATATATATATGCTCCTAAAACACAGTGTCAGCCTGCAAAACCTCCTCAATGTACAAACAAATTACAAATTCAAACACCATTCAATGACATAGACATTTACATCTTAACTTTTAGGAAATCAGATTTGACCACAAAGTGTCCTCAGTTTCAGATGAGTGGTTTCCAGTCACAGAGGTTATTTCTTGTCTTATGTGACCAAGTGAAATGAGGCTGCTCTCCCCTCTGATATATTATGAAGCAGAATGTAAGAAGGGTTTCACAGCTCTCTGGACTCACCTCTGTTTGGGACAGAGGGGTAGCACTGGCAATGACATCCAGGGGCTTGGTGGTGTGAGAAGGGTCTGAGACCCTGTGTGGGTAATGCCCTGAGCATCTGTTTTAGCTTCATTTCTGTTACTGTGATAGATACCCTGACTAAAAGCAGCTGCGGGAAGAAGGTTTCATTGGTTCACAACTCCAGGTTGCAGTCTGTTATTGCAGGGAAGTCAAGGCAGGAACTTTAAGCCTTGGGACACATGCATGGTCCCAACAGGGAGAGGAAAAACACATGGATCCTTGCTTGCCCTCAGCTGGTAACAGTTGTAGCCAGTCAGGCAGTATTTGAACTGCAGGTATCGGAGCTGATTCCTGTGACCCCTGCTTGTAGGCAAAAGAATGCACAGGGCCTTGGGAGAGCATGTGTGCAGCCATGGGCTCCAAACCCAGCACCAAAACTCCAAAATGATACCACACACAGGCATACAAAATGACATTTGGACACAAAATCCATTTTTCTTCTTGCATTTATAAAGTAGACTCTGGGGACTGCAGAGATGGTTCGAAGGTTAAGAACACTGGCTGTTCTTCCAGAGGTCTTGAGTTAATTCCCAGAAACCACATGGTGGCTCACAACCATCTATAGTGAGATCTGGTGCACTCTCTTGGCCTGCAGGCAAATATGCAGACAGAACGATGTGTACATAAATAGATATTTTTTTAAAAATTACTATACCTGGATATTAGAGGATGTTGCTTTTAATAGATTAAACCTATTGTTATTGTTATTTGCTTCATTCCAATTCATTCTTCTTAGGCTCATATAGCCCATCTCAACTCTGAGCTTGGGCAGTTTCAATCTTCACCTCCAGCTATCTCTGAAGATCTGTCTTATCTTCAGATCTATCTGTTAAAAGGCAGAAGACAGATGAGGCAAGCCCCCAATGAATATTCCCAACAAACCCTCAACCAAATAAAGGAACTATGAAAACTCTAGAGTTGTGATTGGGAGATTACTTATAATACACTTGTGTGAGTGTTCACATGCTAAGTTTATGTCATTGGAGAGCCAGAGAAATAAAAACATGCAAGGAGCCTCAGAGGTCAGTGTTTGCAGGAGCCTTTGCAAAAATTATGTTGTTCATGATAAACTTAGCCTAAATGGAAGAATTCCACAGAGGGCTTGAGGGCCAAGTCACAGAAATCAAACTGACCCAGAAAGAAGTAGACCAACACCCAAGCCAACATACAGGACAGAAGCGGCAGTGTGCAGGCAAACGAAAAAGCTGGTAATACCTTGAGTAGCACCAGCCCCAGGCTTCTGAGAGAAGTGAGCATGTAGGAAGGTGTGTTAATGGTCTGCCAATGGAGAAGGCTGAGGACTGGGCCTCCACCACATCTCAGACCCTGGCTGAGTCACTGAGTCACCTCAGTTTACTCCACTGACAACCAGTTTGATTGTAGGAATGAAGTGCAGCTACCCTCATAGAATGCCTGCATCTCCAATGCAAGAGCAAGTCTGAGCACAGGTGACCACACCTGCTTATGCTCCCATGCACTGCGCATAGACCAAGAGAACCTGTGCCCAACCAGATTCTTGGGACTGAGTGCTCACTCAGGTCTGCTGTCTGGAGACCCTCACCTTGACCTTGCTCGTGATATGTGTGAATGCAGTGAGCAGACATGGCTAATGAAGGAATGAATAAAGAGAAGGTCTGATGCAGAGCAACTGGTGCCAGGTCCTCATTCCAGCTCTTCCACCCTCTAGACAGCAAAGCAACAATATTGTTACAAGCCTTGGCTTTCCTCTCTGTCAAGAGAAGACCTGGCTTGATTTTGGCGTTGTTTGTAGTCCCTAGTACACACCCAGGAACAATCACCCTTTCTCTTTCCCCGGCTCAGATTTTCACATTTTCTGAACTAAGGGTCCAGAACTTGGTGCTGTATGATTTTGAAAAATGTCACAAAGAATACAATTTCCCCCCAAGAGTTATGGGAGAGACTCAGAGGAGATATAGGACCAAGTGAGGCCCTGGAGGTAGCTTCCAGACTCCTCCAATTGGAGGAGTAACAGTTTTGACTTGAGTAAATTTTCCGGTGTTCAGATGAGAGCATATTGCAATGTTTACAGTCACACAGTCACATGAAGCCTTGGCTCCAAGCACACAGTACTTTACCTTTTACTGGTAAAGTAAAAGGCAGGGGAAACAATAATTCCCATGACACAGACCAAGATTACTTGACTGGTGACAGTGACTGAATGGCCATGAGCCCCTGTTTTTACCCAGCTCTGAAAACCTTCACGGTTAAATTCTGAACCAGAATAGTCCGTGGATCTATGACCCTGCGATAAGTGCTGTGTGAAGATCCTGGGTCAGGAAGGATCACAGATGCAGGGAGAACCCTTCAACTGTGCCTTCCTCCAAGCTCTGCATCCCAGGAGGTTGGACCAGTCCAGGTTCCAGCAAAGTTCCTGGACACCCATAGAGACGATAACTGTGTCTTGAGTTTGAACTTAGAGGTCTGAAGTGCTCCAGAGCTATAACTGATCACAATCAATCCATCAGACATCCTCAGCAGAGACCAGGTGGCTCAGAAGGTTTGGAGAAAACTTAACCCTCACTAGAATCTCAACAGTATGTTTGGCCTATACAATAAGACTCAGCTATGATTTCTCAACCTGATTTACATGGTCATATAACCCAGTTTCCTTCTAGGATGGAGGTGAGCTAGTATCGGCAGGCATGCATGTCTCATGTTGAAGATGCATTGGGTACCAAGGGGCCTGGGAAAGCTGGTTCATCCCAGACTTAGCATTTAAAAAGTAGAAGAATTGGGAAGTGAGGAGCAGGAGACTAGGGAAAGGACCTGAAGGATGCTTGTTAACTTTAAGACACCCATCCTAAGTTTCTTCCATTACCACTCTCTTCCAAAGAATGGGACACTCAGTTGGGGGGCACCAACTGAATTATGATAGCACTTGATCCTCATCCCTGCTCCATCTGCTCCTTCAGCCAATAGCCTTTAAGATACCAGTCCACCTGGGCATGCCACCTGGGCATGGTCTCTTTTGCTTTATAAAGCAGCGGTAGCCATGTGCATGCTCTCAATCTCTTGCTTCCAGCTTCTGGCAGTTAGACTTCATTCCTGATCATGCAGAGGGCTATTGTCTGGGTTGGTCATCTATAATTTTTTTCCCTTAAATAAATAACCTTTTATTAATCATAATTCCAAACTGGGGGTGGGATTGTTTTGTGACTTATGCCTTCACCTGGCACCCAATGTTTGGTTTTAGAACCTCCCCAGCATGGCTGTCTACCACCAAATGGCCTTGGCACAAGCCCTCCCTCAGCTGCAGCCTGTACATGAAGCCGGCAGTTCAATATAGAATCTTGCACAGTGGCTTTTCTTGCCGCAATTCTTTGTATTTTCTGTTTACACACCTCGGACTGGGTTCAAGTCCCCACACACCCTACAGTTTGCCTCCCACCAGGGTGCACCACAGAAATCTGGGTGAGATGCGGGCTTCCTTGATTTGAGCCAGCTGTTCTACAGCTTTCTAATGATTAGTTTGCATCTGCCTATTCCATTACTCTAGAGACATCTGCAGAGCACACAGTCTGTGATTTATCTTTCAGCAATCTGCTCTATAATCAGATTTCAAACCAGCCACGTGAGTTCATGTACACCATTATATCCCGCTGGGTTAGTTTTGTAGGTGGCCTGCAACACCTACTTACAGGTAACTGTTATTGCACCCAATCCAACTAATTAAACCACAGATAAGATTTAATATCCTAAATATAGAGACTGTATTCTGTCTAGATAGGGAATATTCAGTCACTTCAAGGATCTGTAGAACATGGCATTTAAATAACTTAGGGTTCTGTTGATATGACACATGACTGTTTCTGGCAATACCAATCTATTCCCGAGAGAATATTGAGCACCAAAGACAATCCACTTGGAGTTTGTTTTCTTCTTGTCAAAACTGGCCTTTGGGCAAAAAAAAAATGCCCATGCTTCAACCAGTGACAAGTTACATGATATCTGGAAATGGATATGTAGAACTGTCAAATCTTGCCAAGACAGGATAAGAATATTTTGAAAAAATTTCCTGCCTCTGAAAATGGCCTGTCATTTATGCTAGGCCATAGCCAAAGTTGGTTGCTTCACATTGCAAAATAAGATTTTGGGTGATTGGTCAGGTAGCTAATTGTCTCTGTTATATATTGCTTGCTCTGGAAGCTACTTGATTGTACTTCCTACCTGCTCAAGTAATGTTACCTCCCTTCTCAGGCCTTCAATAGGGTTGAAGATTAGATAGTTGTAGTTACTGTCCTCTTATGATCTAGGAAAGCAATTTCCAATACAATATTTAGACTTTTTAGTGTAGAATGTTTATTAAAACCTTTAGCATATGCTCCTTACTTAATATTGCTTATGCTGATTATAATTTTAATCTTATACTTGATATATGTTCCTAGTGTATATTGTTTTGTATTGGGTTTGGAACTCTCTTACTTAAACAAAACAGGGATGAGCTGCAGGAGCTCCTTCTTCTGCTCCCTCAGCCAATTGCCTTTAAGATGCCAGCCCACTTGGGCATGGTCTCTTTTGCTTTAAAAAGCAGTGGTAACCATGCACTCTCTCTCTCTTGCTTCTGCCTTCCAGCTATTAGACTTCATTCCTGATCACACAGAGGGCTGTTGTCTGGGATGGTGATCTGTAAGTTTTTTCCCCTTAAAAATCCCTTTTATTAATCATAATTCCAAACTGGTGTAGGATTGTTTTGTGACTTGCACCTTCATTGGAGTCTTTGGACAATTAAGTGGCCATGGCTGCTGGTTCCTAACCTGTAAAATGGGAATAATTATATCCATGGCTTCATATATGTACTGAGCCCTGAAATGATCAGATGAATACATGTCTCAAACATTGAGAACATAGTGCAAAAGCCTAAGGGATGAGATTTGTTATTGCTCTGGGTGCCAAGTGGAAACAAGTCTTAACTCTATTTGTGTGTACATCCACTCTAGTATATGCAGGACATTGAAAACAACACTGTTTGCCTTACTGCTTCTTCTCTCTCTTCCCCTGACAGTTCCCAGAAAGGCCATCCCAGATCTTCCCAAATTATCACCAAAGGTTATTGAAAGTTTGACACAGGCTCCCCTCAGACAGAAGAGCAATTCTGTTCCTGAGAGTTCTCCAGTAACTGCCAGTAAATGAGTAAGTCCTGGGGCGTCACATGGTGGCATGTCACAATTTTCTGAAAGAGACAAACGGAGAACCTTAAGCTATCTGGGAAAAAGGTCTGTTTGGTGTGGAGTTCCTCAGGCCGGATCTTCAGCTTGGCCAGGCAGAGCCCGACAAACACATCCTCCAGCTTGAGGAATGGAACACTATCTGAGACATTGTAAACTTTGCTGGCCACATCCCTAGAAAAGATATAACCTGTACCAGAACAAAAAGGTGGGTACTTGTCCTGGGGATATTCAGATTTACTCACAAACCACTTGCTGGACTTTTGCCTGATGGGAAGTTCATTGGACTTTATGTAGCCTGTGAAGAAACTGGAGGTTTTGTTTTTCTTTAGCAGCAGGTCAGTCAGATAGCCAACATTCACAAACATGTCTGAGTCTGTCTTCATCACAAAAGCTGCCTGAGGACAAAAGTGGTGGACCCATTCCATGCCCATCATGGTCTTCAGGGTCAAGTTGAAATAGACGTCCTTGAAATCCTTCTGGATGATGTCACGGTGCTGCTTCCCCTCCTGGGCTATGGCATTCATTTCATCGGTGCTGTCTGAGGCCCCCAGGAGGAAGAGGGTCTTCACACGCCGCCCCCCGCACCTCTGTTTCTCTACCCCACGTCTTGCGGATGGCCATCCGGGCCGCCAGCTGCTTGTGGGACGAAGTCACCAGCAGCACAAGGAAAGGGGGCTTCTGCTTGCAGTCAATATCTGGGAGCTGGAGGAACTTCCCCTGACCTTTCTTGAGAAAACGTGGTGGTTCCTCAAAAAGCTCCATGCTGAAGTACAAGCAAAGAGCGCCCATCATCAGAATGAAAGCATAAACCCGTCTCATCTTCATGAAGGCCATCTGAAAGAACAAAGACAAACTGTCAGGTCTCCCAAGAGAGAGGGTGGAGTAATGGATAATTGTGAAAACCCGAAATGGCTCTGTAGTGCCCGTGCCAGCACAAGACCCGTTCTGCCATTCTTGGGAACCAAGCCTGGAGCTTTAAAAATAAACCCAGAGACAGAGACAGACAGAGACATGAACACACACAAACACACACACCCGGGTGGGGGGACACACACGGGTCATCCTTGATGCACGAATGCCACATGCCAAATGCCCGACTTTACTGTGTGCAGGGACAGCTTACATAGGGATTACTAATAGCCACGCCCAGCTCTCGGGATTTTTCAGCTTCACTCCTTGTGCTCAGAGCAGCTACAGGCATGGGTGTTTTCACTGCAGCAGGCAAAGAAAGTCAAAATGCCTGGGATCTATAGCTCCCAACAGACACCAAAACACGAGATCAGACAGCTTTGTTCTGGTGTTCAAATCCTAACACCAGGGCTAAAATTTATATTTTATAAGGAACTAACAGAGAAGTATTTTATAGTTCCTAACTTAGGGCTAGAGGGACCACTCAGTGGTTAAGAGCGCTTCCTGCCAGCAACCACCTGTATCTGTTGTTCCTGTGGATCTGACGCCCTCTTCTGGCCTCTGAGAGTACTGCACACATGTAGCACACAGATAAACATACAGGCAGAATTCCCATACCTATCAAGTAAAAACTTTTGAAGTTTCTCCAAAAATTTCCAAATACAAATGAAAAGGATGTAATTAAGGAAATGAAATTTGAATCTGTGTAACAGCACACATTAAATATGCCTACTGCATTATATCAAACCCCACATATATAAAATTTAAAACTGAATGTTCAAAAAATGTGAGTTGATGTGCCAGGTAGGTGACATAGATGAAGAGACAGACAGTTTATAAAACTCTGGAGGGGCTTAAGAGATACTTCAGAGGTTGAGAGCAAGCATTGGTTGCTCTTCCAGAGGTCCTGATTTCAATTCCCCAAAACCACATGGTGGCTCACAACCTTCTATAGAGAGATCTAATGCCCTCCTCTGGCATGCAAGCATACATGCAGAGCACTCCTGCATAAAATATAAAAAAGAAATAGAAAGAAAGAAAACTCTGTAATCTTTCATCACCTTGAAATAAAAGCCATGTCTCTACAGTGAAGCACACAGGACAGTCTGCCATGCTGTCCCCCAGTGCCACACTGACAGCCTTGTGATTCTAGATGCTAGTCCCAGCTCTGGGAACTTCCAGCCCTTCACTGAAGGTTTATTCAAACTCCTTGTCCTTCAGTAGATGGGACCAGATCTCCCAACAGATCCTCAGCTCTGACCTCGGACTACATGACAAAGAATGTCACAATGCATCTAGACATCCTGTAGGTCTGGGAGCTGTGCATTCTGGGTGCAAGCAGAGGTCTGGAAGCTGTGCATTCTGGGTACAAGCAGAGGTCTGGAAGCAGTGCAATCTGGGTGCAAGCACATGATTGGTTATGGAGGCCCAAAAATATGAGCCTATTTCCATATTGACAAAGGTCAGAGAGTGGGAACTTACCTCCAGTTCCTTCAAGGTTATTCTGCCTCTACCTCAAAGGTCCCACCTAGCCATAGACCAGGAGTTTTGCTCTCTCAAGGTTATTGTGAACAGTTGTGGCTAACAGCCAGACTTTGTACTTCAGGAATAGAGAAGTAAATATGTTCCTACCTTAAACAAAAGTCTAAAGATCCAACCAAGGGTCCAGTTCCTATATGGGGATAACTTTGGGTTCCACCCAGGGAGTGGTTTGCCTATAGAATATTTTGGTCTAGGGTGTGAGCGTGACTTGTTTTGTTCTAGCAACAGAATGTCTATCTACAGCCACAATCTTCAGTAAGTAGGTGCATTTCTTTGTATCATGATAATGTAGTGTTTTGTTTACTCCTACCTTTTTGGGTCAGGGGTATTTAAAGCAACTGGCATGTAAATGTGGGCAAATTTCAGTACTCACTGGAATTCTTTCCTGATACTATAGTATATGTTTCTCCAGTTTATTATTTCCATTTGCATCTTCATACTCTTTACTATATTTTTAAACCCCCAAGTCCTCTACCCTGGCAAAAGATATTTTTGTTGATGCTGATCCTCAACAAATAGCCACAGACTGCTCTAATTGAGCATGTTCAAAAAGCAATTCCTAGCACTTTGAGTTCCTGACAACTCATGTGTCTGAACTCTTGGTCTGCTGCTGACAGTGCTGTTGGAAAAGGTTGTAGAACCCTTTATGAGATGGGGCTGAGCTACAAGAAGTGAGTCCTGGGGGATGAGTGTTGAGTTTATGGCACTGTCCACTTCATGTCCTCTCTCTGCCTTCTGATCCACAAGATATTAGCAATAATCTCACACCCTGCTTTCACAGCTACAAACTGCTCCCAGTGGTGTGTATGTATTTCTTCTGCAAAGGAAAATCACCTCAAGTCAGGATCCAAAGTAAATACTCCCACAAGTCATTTCTCTTTAGGTATTGAGAAAAGTAATGAGAAAAGTAATGAACACAAAACACCTCTGGTTTTCTAATTTGCACAATGACCTTGAAATTCAAGGAACCTGAAATGTGGTAAGTTTGAGATCTTCTGTGTTAGTGTTGTAACACTGAGAAAAAAAGACACTTTTGCTGAGCAAGAACATCTTTCTACCTGGAATGCTAAGCCACAGGGTAGAAGCCACGATGGAATGAATTCCTTGTGAAGAGCAGGCAGTGACCAATGCTTCACCCTACTTTCCAAGACAATCTTCTGGACTTGTTTGTCTACCAAAAATGAAGTTTGTGTATCTTAGGAATAACTAGGAAAGAAAATGATAGAGTCAAGTTGTTTTCACTTTACTTCACTCTTTACCCTCTCCCTGTGTGACCTTGAGTAAGTGTGTGAGCTACATTCCTGGACTTAGTTTTGTGACTTCTAAAATGGGTACAACTGAGGCACAGAGTCAACCATATGACTCACCTGCCTACAACAACAAACAAACATCTAAGAATCCTCTGAGGTCTCACAGACAAAGATAGTACCACATGGCTCAATACCCAATGTCACTGGGCTTAGCTGGCCCTTCCCTTCCAGCTTTGCTCTCCACACCACACATCTCTCTTGTGCTCCACTCCTCTGTGCAGCTCCTCTTGGCAAACATCCATGGCTCTGGCATATCTAACACCTTAGAGTCTCCCTGCAACCCAGGCTTCAGCTTTATAGTTTCATGCAATGGCCTCTCAGGGCCTCTAGGTCTTGCAGGGTCTTTCTTTTTTTTATTTAGACACGAGAAGAATTGCTTCTTTAATTTTCCATCAATGCCCTATGTGAGATGGGTAGACATTAGTTCATATTCCCCAGTAAAGTTACATAACAGTATCTCAGTTGACTCAGTATATCTAAGTTTTTTCTCATTAATCATTCCAACATTTCTCAGAAGACTCTCAACACATTGCTTCAGCAAAGAAGGTTTTGACTTCAGGTAAACAATGTTTATTAAACTCATATGTCCATTACAGAAGAGTCAATATCTAAACTTTACCTGGAGATGTTCTCCTAAAAACAAGTTGTTTAGGACAGTTAGAAGAAATACACACATGGGTTTACCTATGGTGATTATAGAGCTAGGGAAGATTGTACATAGACTTTGGTTTCCCACCCACCAGTTCCCAAATAACTAACACAAAGCCTTTTTATTAATTGTAAATGTTCAGCAGATAGCTCAGACTTGTTACTAGCTAACTCCTATATATTAATTAGTCCATATTTCTTATCCATCTTCTGTCACATGGCTCATGATTTGTTACCTCATTTTCTACACATCATGTTTCCTCTGTGTCTACTAGAAACTCCTCTGACTCCACCCTTCTTCCCATTGTCCTTAGTTTGGTTGTTCTTGCAGGGTGTTTCTTACTATAAACTACAGTCTGGCCGTGTTTAGTCCCCATCTTGCTTTTATCTGATGTTTCTTTACTGTGCTTTCTTTCTCCCCTTTAGAATGGTAAAGTATGTTCTCTGACATCCTGTGTTGAAAGATATGGTATGCTTTTTGATTATATTTTACAGGTGATTACAGTAAAGAGTCTGCCTTAGTCTCAAAAGGAGACTTTGCACTTTTAAACTGAGTTGATATTGTGAGAGACTGGGATTTCCTGAGTTGCACTAAATCCATTTTTCAGTTCAGTATAAATCTGTGGAGTCAGAGAGGATATTGTGGTGGTTTGAATATGAATGGCTCAGAGCAGTATTCTCAAAAGACCTGAATTCAGTTCCTAACACCTATGTCAAGCAATTCACAACTACCTGCAACTCCAGTTCCAGGGAATCTACCACCTTCTTCTTTCCTCAGCAGACAACTATATTCTATATGAAAACACACAGAGACATAAGCACATAAAATTTTAAAAGTAAATAAATCTTCATCTTTAAAAATCATTAGTGTGTATATGTGTATGTTTTATGTGTGTTTTCACTACAATGCTAGTGTGAAGGTCAGACAAAAGCTTGCTGGAAGCCCATTTCTCTCTTTCCACCACGTGAATCCAGGTCTCATGTCATCAGGCTTCATGGACAAGTACCTTTACCTCCAAGGTACCTTTACTCTGGACACATCACAGAGGTTAAAATCCTCAGGTGTGAACACTCCCCTCCTCCACTGCATCACCCTCTACATAAGCATTGACCATGATCAAAGTAGAAGCCATACCAAATGCCAACACTCCCTGCATTTCCTGTTCCAATAAAGGGTGGAACATTTTTCCTATCTATAGTAGAATTACCAAGAAACTGTGTCCAAAGTGACACCCTCTGTATTTCATCAAACTACATCACATCAATAGTGGGAAACCTCAACACTCCACTCACCAGTGTACAGGACTGTGAGACAGAAACTTCCAAGAGAAATAATGGAACTAACAAATGTTATTATTCAAATGGGCTTAAAAGACTTCTACAGAACATTCCACTCAAAAAAAGAAAATACTTTCTCAGCAACTC